CTTCTGCACTTTCCGCATTTCTGCATTTCTTCAGATCGATATTTATGTAATGCTTTTCGTCACTTCTGCACTTTCCGCATTTCTGCATTTCTTTAAATCGATACGTATGTAATGCTTTTCGTCATTTCTGCAGATTCCGCATTTCTGCATTTCTTCAAATCGATATGTATATAATGCTTTTCGTCATTTCCGCAGATTCCGCATTTCTGCATTTCTTCATGGTCGCAAGCTATGAACGTGGTCTAAGGCTGTTCAAGCTGCGTGTCGCGTGTACGCGACTTGCTCGCGTGTATTCACTGCGGAGGGTCTCACAAACAACATTTTGCTGAAACAACCTTCCTTCTACTCACTTTAAGTGGCCGAAGTGGCTCACTTTTTGGAAAGCGGACGTGCTCGGCTCCATACCGATAGAGAAGGCAATAATCACCAAACGAAAACTTAGGCATTAATGGGAACTCTCACAAGAAATTACCAGATTAGCAGAATTTTGCTCCCCGTTCAAAAGAGAACAGCGCCCAGATTTGATATCTGTTCGTTAACGAGGAAACTGCAGAAGTGAAGGCCTCTTCTTCTGCGGAAGAACAGCAGCGCACAAAAAAAACCAAATGATCACTGCTGCTTCGCACGAATTCCCTGTGCAGTAATTATAATACTTCATTCTGTAGTAAAATTCTATATACCGCTGATGTTAGGAGTCTGGGCATTTCCACATAATGCTGGGCAGTTGGGCCACTTCACATAATGCTTGAGGTTGAGTGATGAGTAAAACCGAGCTTATCGAGGGCGGATCCCACGTCGAAATGGCTATTTGAACTTATGTAAGCTTAAGCGCTTCCTAACGCTAATCTCGGATCTGCTTCAGAAAATTGCGGAACTTTCATATATACCATTTTCACTTTAAATTCACCCTTTTTCAAACCAAATTCACCCTTTTTCAAACCAAATTCACCCCTTTTCAAACCAAATTCACCCTCACTTTTCATCAAATTAACCACACTTATTAGGGCGGGCAACTCATCAACCAGATCACGCCAGACATCACTGCGAGCCCCGCCCCGACGGCCACGCCCACTTGTCAGCGCGGACATAGATTCTCAAATCTTTTTAAAGCAATCTAGACTCCGCCCCTTTGACCACGCCCACTTGCTTT